ACCCAGTCGCCGACAAGCTCGGTCCCAGAAGGGAGCTGCTGTCTGAGCAGGAAACTGCATCTTTAGACTCCTGCCCAGCCACGAGAGAGGACCAGGGAATCTCACCGACCGCTTGAGGACTCTCCCCGGATCGCTTCAGCCCCACGCCGCCCGGACCCTCCGGGCCGCTCCCCACCAGGTTCTCAGCCACAACCTTACCTGAGGGCTCCTAACTTCCCCGAGTGTCCGAGGATGCTCGGGCCATCGGCGGGGACCTCGGGGCAGCAGTGAGGGGGACATCCTCACTCAGCTCCTTACTCAGGTCTCCTACTGTGCCAGGGGCTCCCCCAGGAGGACGAGCATGGTGATTTTCCTTCGGAGTCCACTGGTTCAGGACGTCTGAGAAGATGCTAGCCTTGCAGCTGCTCACTTGCTTCCTGCAGCTCCTGGCTGGGCTGGCACTGCCTACTGTGCCCCCCAAGGTAAGAACTTCTCCCACTCCTGGCCTGGCTTTGCTGATCTGCTTGTCCCAGCACTTGAAGCAGGGGACTCTGAAATCACAGACTCATGCCAGGGAGTAGCACTTCTCAGGATGTCCACATACTTCCCAGGGGCCAGGCTGGACCTATGGCCTCTGCCTGGAGACCTCCAACGAGGTTGTCCCCAGCTCCGGGGGGCTGTCTTGGTAGGGGGCAGGGAAGCCACGGAGAGAGAGGGAGGTTTCCCGTCTGGTCCCTGGAGCCATCGTGGCTTTGCTAAAAGCATCTGTCGCTAATCCCAGGCAGTTCCCTGGCCTTGTGATCAGGGTCGAGGCCCCATGACCAGCCAGGCGCCCCCAGGACCTCTGACCTGGCCTGGTGGAGAGGAAGCCATCTGAAGAGGCTGCTGGTGGGTAGGCTAGGCCCTGCCCCCACCGGGCTCCAGGCTGAGCTGGGGGCTCTTGGGTGGGCTGGGATGAGACAAGGGGTCCTGCTGTGCCCTCTCTCCCGGGTGGGTGGCCGGAGGTCCTGAGTGCAGGGCCTGGGGAAGTGAGCAGGGCCCTTTTCCCAGGAGCCGGGTGAGTCTGGCTGGGAGCCAGCTTGGGCAGCAAAATCCTGACAAAGCCAATAAGCTCCATTCCCACTGCGCTTCCAGGCCGCCCTGGGAGTCCCCAGCCCCAGCTCAGGAGTGGGTGGGCTGGCCCCTGCTGCAAGGCTGAGCAGCCCAGCCGCCAGCCTGCTCGCTGCAGGGCTGACCAGAGGTGTAACATTACCGGCAGCGCTGGCTCATGGCGCTGCTTGCTCCAGCTCCTCAGCTCCCACCAGCTGATCACCTCCCCCTGGAGTCTGGCACCCAGCCAAGGCGGGCTGTACAAGGCCCAGCAGGGCTGGCCTGGGGGCTGGGTAAAAGGGAGACCCCACAGGATTGCAAGATCTTTGGGATGCAGGAAGGCCCCAAAAGCCTCCGGCCTGCCCTGCTTTTCTAAAAGAAGAAACCGAGGCCAGAGAGAGGTGGGACCTGACCAGGGTCCACTTGGGTTTCTGTTGCTCCTGGAAGGAGGTAGCTCTGAGACATGGCAGTGTGTGCAGAGGGCGAGGAGGAGCTCAGAAGGGTCTCTACCCTCTTGCCATTATGCTTGACCCCGGAGCACAGAGCAAGAAGGTGACTCCCCCCACAATCTCTGCACCTTTCCATCTACAGCAACAGGCCCTGTCTGCTGGGAACAGTTCATCAGAGGTGGAAGGTAAGCCATCCAGGCTGGGGGTACCATGCTCAGCCCCGCTATTCTTTCCTTCCAAGTCCCCAAAGAGGAGGGAAAGGGGTTGGCATGCAGGGTAGGTGCAGGTTAAATTAGGGAGAGTCTCCATCCTAGGTAGTGAAGATAGCAGGGCCTGTAATCCAGCAGCCTAGAGAGGTGCAGTGGTTCTGAGGTAGGGTTGCCCCCCACACAAAAAGCAGACCAGTATAGCCAGGGCCTGTCCGTCTGGCTCAGAGCCCCATCTCAGCATGTGGTAAGGGTGCAGATGGGGTCTTGAAGGACAGGATGGGCAGGGGGAGCCAGGGCTCAGATTGAGGGTCTGGGCCCTGGATATATCAGGTAAGCAGTCAAGAAAACCAGGCTGGGTGAAGGGCCTCCCCAGCAGCCCAGCCCTGGTGGAGCTGCAGGGATCTGACCAGGCCTTTCCATTGATTACAAACAGACAGAAAATGAGTCGTACCCTCCCTGGCCTCTCCACTCCCTGCCCTGGGTTGCATCAAGAGGGAATCTTCAAAGGGCAACCAGACGTTTGCCAAAGAGACATAAGCGCAGGAGGTGGGAGGTCCATGCCAGGCCCCTTGCCTGGCTCCTCCCTCCCGACCTCCCTGATACGTGCAGAACAGCCATGCACTACTCTTGAGGCATCCTGCTGTGCCGCAGGAGAGGGGTGAGTAGGGACGTGCACTCACACACTTGGGGTAGCTGTCTGTGGACTGGGGAGACCCGCTGTGGGCCTGCCGCCTACCTGTGCACCTGGCACTCAGCCTCTCCTGGGCCTCCAAGTTCCTTGATGCTTGAGTCTCGGACCCCTCGGCCACTAAACAGGTGGGAGGACTTCATGGGGAGGACCTCGCTGTCCTCTGGAACCGGCACAGTATTATGCTGTCTGGGATCTGAGGAGGGACCCATCATCCACTTCCACGTCATATCCTTTTTCATGTTTTTAGCAGTTCAGGCAGCAGCTACCAAAGATATCTGAGCCTCAGGGTCTTCATCCATAAAATGGGAGCATTAGGTGACACGATACCAAAGGCCCTTTCTTTTGCTACAATTATAGAATTCTCTGACCCTGTGAGGAGACACAGGTGTGTATATGTCCCAGGATTTGGGATGAGGAGGCTTGGAAGTATAAATTCATTACGGCCACTCACCTGTTATCCTGATCATGGGGAGAGGAGGGGGGTGCACTGCACTGTGGCCAGGGAGGCACAGTGAGCTTTGGACTTGTTCATAAAATCTGAAAATGCTGTCCTCTCTCTGCTAACCCTAGAGCAACAGACAGCATGGGCGGGCACTGGGCAAAGCTTTTCACTGTTACTCTTCATGGTAGTAGTGTTGGAAGTTTGCTGTCATTCCATCTGACCACAAGGCTATGAAGTAGGAAGGAATTTGCCTTCCTGCCTTTACAGAGGAAGAGCCTGTGCTCAGAGAAGTCCTGGGGTCACCTAAAGCCTCAGGCACTTCCCAGTGTATCTGGGCTTGATGGGCACCAGGATCCCAACTGCCCAGTGGCTGAGCAGGGGTGAGAGGGATGTCATTGTGCCGGGCTGGCTGTGAGCCCAGTCAGTAAGGAGGACACCTGCTGGGCTGGAGCTGGTGGCCAGTGGCTTTGCCCAGTCCTAGCAGCTTCTCCAGAATCATGCTCTCGGGATGAAACTTTTCCCTTGTTGGGTCTCTCTGTTCTGGGTAGTAAGGCTATTGGGGACAGATGAAGCTGGAGGGAGAGCTGAGAGCCTAGCAGTGGCCCTTGGGGACACCCAGCCATAGCTTCAGGCACCTCCCACCCCACCCCCACCCCAGCCCAGAGCAGGTCTGAGGCCAGCAGAAGTACTTGGGAGCCACTGAGCTGAGCTCTTTCCTGAGGGGCTCAGCCCATGTATGCGGGCAGGTACTGCACTCCCTCAGCCTGGCCCCTTGCCCAGCCTCCTTTGTTTCTCCCTCTTGGCCTGACAGAGGCCTCCGAGGACAAAAGACCCTCTTTCCTGCTGGCTGCCAGGTAAACCAGGCCCTGGCCACCTCCTTCTGGGACTTCCCCGACACAGTGTGGCGAGCTGGAAAGTGGCAGATTTCCGGATTTGAGGGCCCTGGAGACTGGGTTCTGTAGAGGCAGAGTTGATGTGCTGGATGCGGGGATGGAGAAAGGAAATCCTTTCTGCCACCAAGGCCTAGCCGGCTCGCTCAACCTGGCTGTGGCTACCACCCAGCCAGCTGGGTGTGAATTTGTGAGATTTCAAGGGGCCTCAGGTGCTCCTTTCTCCGCTGTTCCCCTCCTGGAAGGCTGGTCGCAGCACAGGCGCTGAGCTTTCTGTGGTGCTTTGTCCGGCCGGCTCTTCTCTGCTCTTATTTATGTTTCCGAAGCAGAGATTAAACGTTCAGAGTGGTGCGGTGCTCACAAAGGTTTTAGACTAAACACAACTCATAGAGCTGGCGATAGGAAGTTGCTCTCTGACCCCCTATTGCAAAGGCAGCCTTCCCCCAGGCCGCAGGGTAGCCTATAAGGAGAGCGGCCCTATTTCTCACTTGGGGCTGGGAGGATGTAGTGCTGTGGCCTGGAGAAGTAGAGTTGGGGCCCTCTGGATCCCCCTCCAGCCCCAGGCCAGCTCCAAACCCCAAGCAGAGCAGGCCAGGATGGTGCAAGCAGACACCCAGATAAGCACGGTTTATTGCCTGAGTGGCTGCCCTGCCAGCTCCACATGCACAACGCCGCCTCTTGGGTATTTTCCACCAGCTTGCAGCCTCTCCCGAGGGCCTCTGCTACAACTGGAGTTTATTTTTCTTCTGAGATTACCCTGAGACTCATGTCCTCATAGGCTCAGTGGAATGGACTTTGGCCCCACTACCGCCTAGGAAAGGCTGTAAGGGGCTGTGCTATGCCAGGGCTGCTAGGTTCCCAGGTGACCCAAGCCCCTGTCCTCCCCCAGTAGCTGAGGATGACCACTGGGCATGGAGCAAGATGACCTGGCCCTGGGGGTGTTTCTTTGCCAGAAGTCTCAAGGCTGGCCCTGGCTGGGTTTGAGTGCACTGAATCTGACAGTCTGTCAGTGTGGAAGAGGCCTTAGCAATCATTTACGTCCAGCCTTCTTCTTTTTCCCCAGCTAAGGAAACTGATATACCCAAAAAGGTTGAGTGACCTTCCCAAGGTCACATAGTCAGTATAGGGCCAGGAGTAGAAGCCAGATGGCCTGGCTCTGGCCACTTCCTGAGAACCTCTCCTTGGGCCCCACCCCCAGACCTTCTTCCCCTGAAGGAACAGCATCTTTTGAGGGATTCCAGATCAGCCCCAAAAGATCTGGTCATTAAAAGGCTGTTTCTGATAATGCTTGGTGAAGGATCAGCTAATCAGACAGGAGTCACTTAGCCTGTGTTTACTGGGGTCTCATTTCTGTCTTCCCAGAGCCCCAGTTTGGCTGTCAAGGAGATAACAGCTACTGGCTAGGAGAAGGTGGACCCCAGGGCCAAGCAGTGCTATAGGGGGTGGCACCTGTAGGGTGGAATTGTTGGACAATGTTGCAGGGAGGAGAAGGGAGGCACCTTGGGAAGCAGGGGCTGGGATTGACTTGGATAGGCGTGAAAGCAGGGAAAGACGCTGCCTGAAAATGACCATGACATATCACGGCCTCATGCGCAGACTGGAGGACCACAGAGAAGAGGGCTAAACGTGTGGCTGGATGTGGTCATGGTTGAAGGCAGAGGAGCTGGCACCAAGTAGGGACACGAGGGAAGGATACATGGTGGGTTTGGGGGCAAAGAACAAAGGTTAAGACCAAGCCCCCCTGCGGGACTCTAGAGCGCTTTTCCGTAGTTTTCCAAGACAGGGAAACACCAGATCAGGCCCGAGGGCCTGGGGAGCTGCCAGGGCACAGTCCTTGTAGCTTCAAGGAGCCAGGGCAGACACGGGTACCAGAGTAGAGAACAGGGCTGAGTGCTCCAGACCTGGAGATTTGCACCCAGTTAGAAAAGATGAGGTCCCGCAGGAACCCCGGAGGGGTCATGTGAAGCGGGGCTTGGACAGGTGGGGGCTTGAGGGGAAGCAGCGCGCGGGCTGAACCGGTCTAGAAGGTCTTCTTGCCTCCCGTAGTGGTGCCCTTCCAGGAAGTGTGGGGCCGCAGCTACTGCCGGACGCTGGAGAAGCTGGTGGACATTGTGACAGAGTACCCCAGCGAGGTGCAGTACATGTTCAGCCCGTCCTGCGTCTCCCTGAAGCGCTGCACGGGCTGCTGTGGGGATGAGCGCCTCCAGTGCACGCCGGTGGAGACAGCTAACATCACCATGCAGGTAGGGGTGCTCCCCCGCCCCTGATGCCTCCTGCTCACGGCCCACACACTCCCACTAGAAAGGACTCAGAAAGAGGAGGCAGCCCAGGTCCCAGGACTCCCAGGCCAGCGTCCCCAGCCACCCTCCAGCCCAGGGCCCTCCTTCTGTAGCGCACATCGTTCCTTGGAGCCCACTCACCTGGGCCCTCACCAGGTGTCAACCTTTGTCTTCTTCCAGATCCTGAAGATCACCCCAGGGGTTCGCCCCTTCTACGTGCAGCTGACATTCTTGCAGCACACGCTCTGCGAGTGCAGGTAGGTCCGGACAGGCACTGGGGCAGGCTCTGTGCACTTCGGAGCCTCGTCAAAGATGGGCATAGGTGTAGGTGGAGGCTGCCCACTTGCTTCCCTGCTTCCATTTTGTGCCCCTCCCAGCTGATTTGGCCTAGGGAGGTGGTACCAGCATGGCCGCCAAGACGCCCCAGGGGAAAAGGGAGCCTGGGTCTTTTCCAGACTTACAGGGGCCCAGGGCAAATTGTCACTGTCCTCGGAGATGGAAGGCAGCTGCATAGGCGCCCAGAAGAGTCGCTGGAGGCAAAGACACAGCAAGCCCAGACTTGGTTCTGGGCTAGGCTGCCTGCCCACAAGAGGGGGGAAGCTGGGCTGAGAGGGAGAAGGAAGGACAGGCTGTGTGAAGAGGGAAAGGACAAAAGAAAAGAGGCAGGCACTGTGGTTTTTTTAAAGTTGCGGCCCCTGCCCTTCCCTAATCCAGAGGCTGTGGTCTGCATCAACCCTGCTATCCAGATTCAAGGAGAGTGACAGGCACTGAGACGCTGCTCTCGGTGCCCCTGTGCCATGGAGAGCAGCACCAGACTCAGGTCCAGAACTCCAGCCCCAGCTCATGAGCCATTCGAAAGTGTTTTCTCATTTATTTGCATGTTTATTGGGTGCCGACTGTGTGCCAGGGACTGGCCCAAGGGGCTGCAGTGGTGAGCAAGACCGACAGAGTGCTGCTCCCATGAGCACCCTATCCCCATGGCAGAGATGAAGAAACTCAGGCTCCATACAGATAGTGATTTGCCCCAGCTACTGGGTGTGGAGGAGGGGTTTGGTCTGGACTGCAGCCTGAGTCCTAAGCTCGCCCTAGTCATGCTGCCTGTCTTGGCCATCACCACGTACTTACATAGCCCCAGTACCACCAAGGCTTGGCACTGCCCCCTTTGAACCAGAGCCCAGGCTCTGGGGCCTCTGCCTCAACCTGTTCCTTCCTAACCAGTGTGGAACCAGGTAACAGTAGTTCAGCTATGACCTCTCCTGGGCACAGGGCTGGGTGGTGACTGACCTTCATCTTTTACATCACTTTGCTCTCACAGACACTTTTGGGGCTGAGAAGATGAGGAGAGTGAGGTTCCAAGAGTGTTTCTGGCTTGACCAGTAGGGAGACCAGGCATTCCCAAGGAAGGGGCCAGCTCAGGGCAGCTTTCCCTCACGGGCCCCACAGCTGCCTGCCACCACCCACTCTTCCCAGGGAAGACCAAGGCCCAGTCCCCTTCCAGTGTGCCAAACAACAGGGAGACTTTTCTTTTCACTTCTGGGCCAATGGCCACAGCCCCGGGGGGCAGAACTGGGACATGCCTGGTGACCATGTGGCTTGTGCTCACCTCCCTTTACTGCCCCATCAATTCCTCTGCTGTTGCCAGGGCAGGGTGGGTATTGTACCCTGGCAGGCAGCCTTAGCTAGCAGCAACTAACACCCCTGGCCCTGGCCTTGCCCATCCCTTACTGTCCCAGAGGAAACTCCCAGAATGCACCCTGCCAGGAAGCGTAAGAAGTGAACAGAGAAAATGAACCAACAGAGAACAGGCTCGAAAGGCTCCAGATTGGATGCCAAGCACCTGAGGTTCAGAGGCCTGTGAGGAGGAGCCCCAAAGCCTAGGGTGGCAGTTCCAGCCCAAGGCTTCCGACTTGCTTTCCCTTGTCGACTCCGTGCTGCCCCCTCGTGGTCGCATTGCCAACTGCAGGACCAGTGCTTGGGAAGTCAGGGGAGGTTATAAGGGTGGCAGGAAGCCCCCACTTACTGATCTCTTGATTTCTTCTGCCCCTCTGTCTGTTTCCCTAGACCTCTGCTGGAGAAGACGAACCCAGAAAGGTAAGTGGCCTGGCCGGGGTTCAGGGCTATTCTCAGGCCTGCCAGCCCCTGTCCTAGCATGGGCCCCCCAGCCACTTTGTCCTGATGCTTTGGCTTATTGCAGGAGGAGACCCAAGGTCAGGGGAAAGAGGAAGAGAGAGAAGCAGAAACCCACAGGCTGCCACCAGTGAGTGTGCGGGGAGCCCAGGGATGGCAAGGAGGCTGGGCCCAAGGGGGGCCTTGCCTAGGGGTCCAGTGGTTGGGGAGGGGGAGAGGCGAGGTTTAGGGAGTCTTAGGAGCTAGAATAGGGGCTGCACCTCTTCAAGGGCACAGGAGGGCATTTTGATTTTTTTTTTTTTTTGTACCACGGATCAAACTCAGGACCTTGTGCTTGCGAGGCAGGCAGCAGCACCACTGAGCTAAATGCCCGTCCGCATGACAGCATTTTGAGGCTTGTCTTCATTTAGTCTCAAATCTCAAAGTCTCTATGTGGCCTTGAACACATCATTTCACCTTTCTGAGCTGAGTTTTTCTGTGTGTAGAATGACAGGGCAGGGAGTGTACACAGAACACAAGGTCATTCTGAAACATTGACCAAGCACTCCCCGTGTGCCAGGTGATTAGCGAATGATATTTCTAAGGCTTAGGTTCTAATGATGAGGAGTTATCTACGGTTATATCCCAGCAGCCCTGGGGAAGGTGCAGCCCCTACTGGCCCCTAGGCCAGTGCCTCCTCTTCCCCCTCCATGTTTCCTGCCCATCTTGGCTTCACACCTGGGGGCAGCACCAGTTTTGAGTGTGGTTGGGAGAGAAGAATTAGGGAAAGGATCACCCAACCTGTGAGTCAGAAGTAAAAATAAAATGTTTCCCATGGACAGTGAATCAGGCACACTAGGTTCACCTTTGGGTCTGAATCTCCTAGTGCCGAGATCAGAAATCATTTCATGCTACAGAAGTGGAGGTGATCCAAGCCCTGGCCCCACAAAACAGCTCTTCCACAGGCAGAGATGTCCCCCAGCTCCACCAAGACAGGGATTTGGCCAAGTCCGTCCCCTTAAGGCTCATGGCCCTCCTTTCTGTCCTGGACCCGTGCAATAATTTGGGGCAAGAGCTGGTGGTAAAGCCAGTTCAGAGGCATAAGCCCAGCCAGGCAGCCCCAGATGCAAAGTGCCCCATCACCCCATTATCCAGGCATCGGTCTTTAAATGTTATTTTGGGGAATTCTTTTGAAAGAATTTCAAAAGCCCATGTGCTCACTTGCTCATTTTTAAGTTGCTGTTGAACTTTTTCGTCATAATTATGAATAGTTTACAAAGGATGTAATTTCTAGCATATCATAAACATTAATATTTAACATAAAGCTATTACACAGTGAGTATATAACCCAGTCTTCAGATATAGCCTATGGAATATGCCACCCTAATTTATACAACTTTTAAAAATTGAGTAACCAAAAAAAAAAAAGTTTATACTCTTCAAATTGGCATATTTAATTGCTTCTACTTTCCTAGGATTTTGTATTTCCATTTCTTTTCCCCACAGAATTTCAGCCTAATGTAATTTTATTTTTAATACTCAGAAGTCTTATTTATCATCTTGCTATTTATCTGCCACAAAGATGCGATGTGAGTTTGAATTATTTTAAATTTCCTGTGAGCATAAGCCAAATTAAATTTTCCCTTAGAACAAATTATCAAAAATAATTATTGGTAGTACCACTTCATCAAAACAGCACATATACATCATGGTTTGATAAACGTAACATGTAAAAGTGCAATCAGTCTTACTGGGAAGGCCTCTCAATGAGATGGGCGTGGCTACTTCTTTTCAATTAGTTAATGGCTTTTACTTCCTGCCAGAATCCTTCCAGGATTCTGCATAAATTCCACTCCTGTTTATCATTTTTTATAGAGGAAAAGGTTGAGAAACCATACTCATGTATGTAAGTAAATGGAACTGAATGCTATGGAACTATTTAAACTACATCCGAGTTATGTGCCCAAAACCTGCAGGTGATCGGCTAACAATTGCTTCTAGGGTGGGGTGTGTAGATCAGTGTTTGCCTACCATGCAAGAAGTCCTGGGTTTGATTCTCACCATGTGTGTGTGTGTGTGTGTGTGTGTGTGTGTGTGTGTGTGTGCGCTCGCGCGTGTGTGTGTGTGAAAACTTCTAAGGACGCACTACTGGCTGGCAGTGACATTAGTTTGCTCCTCAGTCTGGTTCAAAGACTTGGAAACTGCTTGACTTGCAAATGGCTTTGATACCCAGTCCTCAGCCCTATTTCCTTCCTCAACACCTACACCAAGCTCTCAAATTGTCCCATTTCATCCACTTAGGCTACTTTGACCTTGCAACAAAACATTTTTACTGGATTTGGGATCAGCAAGATGCCTTCTTTCTCCCTAAAGGGAGAAAGAGTTGTCAACAGCCAAGCAGACCTCAGGCACTTTCTCATGCAAATAATTTCAAGGCTGAATACACGGGAAGGCTGAAAATTGGTTTCTTTAAAACCATTAATTCTCAGCCTTTGTTCCTCTGTTTGAAGACTGCTGTCTGAAAGTAACCAGAGGCTTTAAGCTGGGCTGCATTCAGATGTGACTGTCACTGACTATTGTGTAACCTAGGGCAAATTTTGAAGAAGACTCTCTGGGCTTGGTTCCTGGTCTCTGTGCCTTCCTCGTGGGGTACCGCTAGGGGTAAATGAGACAGTGCCTGGTGTTAAGTGCTGTGTGAAGTACAGCCCTCCACTGCTTGTTGGCCTGGGTGTAAGCAGGGTTCCAGAAGCGCTGCATCCTTCCTGTCCTCCCTGCCTAAGCTTCCCCTTTGCCTCCCACCACCACAGGAAGAGACCCCGTCCTCCACAGTACACTGATAGCCCCTGCCTTGTCTGTGTTTGTTCTCTGGCAGGTGTGGTGAACGTGCTCCCCGGAGGTAACCAGCCCCTCAGCGGAGAAAGACCCCACACCCAGCTCGTATATTTATTACTGTCACACTCTCGGTGACCTCCCTGCTGGTACCTTCCCTCTATTTATTAGCCAACTGCATCCCTGCTGAATGACTTGCTCCCTCCAAGACGAGGAGCAAGGAGGGACAGGACCCTCAGGAATTCAGTGCCTTAAACAGAACGTGAGAGAAGGAAAGAAGCCATCCACAGACCCGTGGGAGCTTCGGCTTGGAAAGAAACAAGACAAGACCTTGTGAGGGGCATGCTGGGCCCTAGAAGCCCCAGGTCCCCGGGGACTGGAGAAGAAAAGAGGGGACCCTGCAAAGACTCCTGGCTTGAGGCTCTGCCAGCAGCTTTTGCCCTGGGCTGCTCCTGACCCAGGTGGGTGCAGGCGCCTGCTCTGGCCACCAAGTCCCTGGCCGGTGGGAAGTCAGGCAGCCGATGGAGGGGATCCAACCACATCCTCCTCTCCCTGGCAACAGATACTTGCCCTGGAGATTGGGATGTTCAGCTCTGGAGAACAGTGCTTGCCTGGGGCCTTTTGCTGCTCCTGGTCCTCTTACGTTGACCCCCCCCCAACATCTTGCCTCTGGCTTATTCTGGGACATTGCTTTTTCCAGCCAGGGTACCGTGATCCTGGCCCCTCTTGGGGACCCAGGCAGAGTGGGCTCTGGGCTGGTCAAGAAGCAGGGTGTGAGAGGAGCAGCCCAGCCGGTGGGGATGAGGTCACTGGGAGAGAAACCTGTGTGCCTTAGCCTAGCAGCTGCGGAGAGTGAAGCAGATTCCCCAAGGGCCCCTGTACGCACCAGCTGCCCCTGCAGGGCTGTCTGACTGCCAAGCCAGATTCTCTTGAATAAAGCATTCTAGTCTGGAAATAGCTTGTCCAGGGGAGTGTGTGTGATGGAGGAGTGGGCAAAGAGTGGGTGAGGGGATGCCAGGAGCCCAACACCATTGCTGTACCCAGTTTTCTCACCTTAAAAATCCTGCTCAGGTTTTGGAAAGCACATCCCACTACATGACAATGGGTCAACTTTCTCCTCCTTTCCTTCCTCTTTTTGACAGCTGTCTTAGTCACCTTTTAGTTGCCGAGACACAATACCTAACGCTCACAACTTAAAGGAAGAGAGGCTTATTTCGGATCACAATTTCAGAAGTTTCAGTCCATGATTGGCAGACTGAAATGCAGAAACAGTACGGTGGAAGGGCCTGCAGGGGTAAAAAGCTGTTCATGGCATGGTGGCCAGAAAGCAGAGAAAGAGAAAAGGGAAAAGCTCAGGACAGGAAAATACCTTCTAGGTCACACTCCTGTGATCTGCCTCTTCTGTCCAGGCCCCGCCTCCTGACAGCACACTGAGCCAATGAACTGACCAGTAGACGACTCCACTGATGAGTACAGCACTGCCATGTTCCCCCCATACTCCAAAAGCCCCGAATGAGAGTTTTGGGGGACAGTCTAGATCCAACTCTAACACGCTGCCCATGGCCCCCATAAAGAGTCCCTTTATGCAAAATGCATGAAATCCATTTTTAAGAGTCACCAAAGTTTTAATAGATCCAGCGTTGCTAGAAAGTTCAAGTCCAAAGTCTCCTCTGAGATTCAAGGTAAAAATCTTAGGTCTGAGCCCCCCATGTAAAAATCAAACAGAAAGTTAAATACCCACAGGCAATGGCACAGGATAAACATTCCCATTCCAAAAGGGAGCCATGGGAGATAGAAAGGCATGGGACCAAAGCAAGACTGAAACCCAGCGGGGCAAACATTAAATCTTGCAGTTCCATGTCCAGTGCCTGGAGCAAATTTTGACAAGATGTGACCTCCAGAGGCTTAGGCAACCTTGCCTCTACAACACTGCCATTTGCAGCCCTCACGGCCTCTCTCTTGGGCTGGCTCTATTCACTGCTTGTGATTTTATTTAGCAAATATTCCTGACTTTACCACTACCTAAGGTCTCCACTGAACTTTTCTGCTTCACAGTTTCATATAGTACCTCCTCAGGGCCAAACTACCTGGCCTCCAAGGCCTTCTGAAACCTGGTTGGGAGCCTCCCTGACATCACAATTCTTGCACTTTGCATGCCTGTAAAACCAGGGCCATGTGGATAACAATTGTCTGCTGCCACCATGAGCAGTGGCTGGTCCTCTTGATCATGGTTGCAGAGGCCTATGAGTGCCTGAATGGCTAAGGACTGTGAACCAAGTCCTAGGCAACCAATTTCCTAGGCAGCCCTTCTTGGAGCAGGGAAACCAAAGTCTTTCACTTTTGTATTTTTGAGCTAGTGAAGGGTAAGATCTTGGTGATTCTTGAGATGCCCTCGAGCCATCTTTCTTATTGTCCTGGTATGGCTACTTTGAAATGTTGATCTTTTCAGCAACAAGCTCTCTTTGGCTCCAGATTTACAGGTATTTCCTTTCTGCCCAAATGGAAATTTTTTTAGATAAGCTTTTGTCCTAATTCTCATTGCATCACTGGAAGTAGGCCATGCGACAGCCTGAACACTGGGCTGCCTTAAAATTTCCTCTGCCAGATTAATTTGTCTGTTGCCCTTAATCTCTCTCAGTCTCAGGACATGGGCAAAACATAGACAAATTTTCTGTAAGAATGTAGCGCACGTGGTCTTAAGTTCAGCTGCCAAAGGAGTCTTTGTTCCTAACAGAAATCTCCTGAGCTTGGCCCTTACACTCTGAATTTGTAACAGGATTCCAGTCTTCTGAACTCTGATCAGAATCTCCCATCAAGCTCAGTGTTTTCTCTGGCCAACATCTCCTGACCTTTCCAAACTTCTTCCTTAAACCAGTTACAGAGACTTTTAAAGTCAGATAGTCACAGTAACCAGCCCACTCCTGGTATCAAAATCTGACCCAGTCACTTTCTGTCACTGAGACACAACACCTGACCCCTGCAATTTAAAGGAAGAAGAGTTTGTTTTGGCTCACAGTTTCAGAAGCTTTGGGCATAGTGAAAGGGCCTGCTGTGGAGGAAAACATGGTGACCAGGAAGCAGAGAGACAAGGGAGGAGCCAGATACAAGAATATACCTTCCAGGTCATGCCCCAGTGACCCACCTCTTCTGACCAAATCCTACCTCCCAATAGCCCCCACACCCACTGAATCCACTAGTGTATGAATTCAGCACCCTCGTGATCCAACCATCCTCCAAATTTCCCACCTCTGAGTTTATGAGAGTTTTATGGGATATTTTAGATCCAAATCACGATACCATCTGGGGGAACTGAGGCCCAAGCAAGTGAAATGACAGCTGGAGAGTCAAGCAAGCACTGAACTAGGAGTCACAAGCCAGGGTCTTTTTCATAACTCACTAAGTGAGAGTGGGTTTTCCTTTGCCTTCATTTCTTCTCTAACCTGAGATGGTGCCTCTGGCTTTGACACATTCTAGTAGGGCTCCAGGTTCCAGACTCAGTGGCCCTCATAGTCATGAAGGTTGTGCCTCTACAGACTGTGCCAGGGCTTCCCTGGGGTTTGCTAAGTCCTGCTCCTGCAGCCCTCTGGGTCCCACCCTCCCCTAATGAGGAGCTCCCAGATGTCCTTTGTGGTAATGAGGTGCCAGTGTGGAATTGAGTTTCCAGATGCAGTCTAACTAGAATTGGAGAGAAGCCTGGCCCCAGCCATCTATGACACCATCAAAGTCAGGGAACACAGTCCCCTTCTTCTGCCCCAGAGCCACACACACACACGTGCACACACACGCACACGCACACACACACCAGTACCCAGGCCCTCTAGACCCTAAGGGGATGGGTCCCCCAGACTCTTCATTCCCTCAAGAAATATGAAGACTTGCTCCCCAGGGAATTGAACTTCAGTATCTCCCACTTGTTTGGATCTGTGCCAGTTTCTTCCTTTTGACTCCTAACTCCTTCTGCCTTCTTCCGTAAGGTCTTAGTATGAAGAAAAGAAAAAAGATTCTTTTTTTTTTCCCCTTGTCCAAACCATTTACTGTCAGGCTCCCATCTGCTTCTGAGCTGCAAGATGTGTGTCTTTTTTATGCTGTGTATAAGGTGGAAAGGGGCTCCACTTCTTCATTTGAGGCTGAAACCCACATGGACCTGGTGACAGGCAGTGGTCCAACTCAGGCTTTGGAGCAAAGATGCAGATGGACCAGTAGGATGGGGAGGCCTTACTGAGGCAGCTGCCCTTGGCCATGGGTTCTCTGTGGCCAGGGCCCCAGGAGGTCACTCTGGTCAGAATGTGCTTCTGGCTGGTGATCACAGAGAGGGTGTGGATCAGCCCCAGGGGACACACTTAGCTAGGGAAACACACTTTCCTGCTGCTGCAGCTGTTCCTTTGCCTTTGACCGACTGAATGCTGAGGAGAGCAGCACTCCCCTTAGCTGGTCCTCTAGCTCAGCCTTGAGAACCCCAACAGCATCTCCAAGGCTTTCAGCTCCTGAGATCACCCACATGGAGGGCACCAAGGCCACCCCACCCAGGCCAGTGACCCCTGTAAAGTCCTAGACAGCAACCCAGCCAGCTCCAGATGTCAGAAACAAAAATCCACATCCTCAACCAGGGGCCCTGCACAGGAATAAGCAGGAAAGGAACTGAGGGGTCCATTGGCTATACTGAGGGTCCTTTCAGATCATTTGAGCCCTACAAGGCCCTTTTCATTGGCTTGTTACCCATCTGTGGAGCGACATCTGGGTAACAGATGTCATTCTGGGCACTGAGAAGCCAGTGTGGAATCAAGCGCCCCTTCCAGTGTCAGAGGATATGGGGCAGTTCTTTTCTGCTGCTTGAATTTGTGACCAGATTCAGAGCTTTGAAAAGGGGGCTCTTGGGCTGGGGGTTTAGCTCAGTGGTGGTGCCTGCCTTGCAAGTGCAAGGACCTGAGTTTGATCCCTGGTACCCCAAAATAAATAAATAAATATTAAAAAATTAAAAAGGGGCTCTTGTGGAGCGGGGATTTAGCTCAGGGGTTCTGCCACCTGCCTCACAAGCACAAGGTCCTAAGTTCGATCCCCAGTACCAAAAAGGAGGGGCCTCTTAATCCCCAATACTAAAACAAGGCAACAATTTGGAATGGATGCAGTTGCCCACAGGATTTAAGAGATGGCTGAAGTAATTCTGCTACATTTAAGCACGAGTAAGCACCCCTCTTCAGTCTCCATATGCAGCTGACAGTGGGAGGACAGGAGACAGGGGCCCTGGAGTCGTGGGGTGTTCTGTCTGGAGCTGGATCTGCCCATGTGGGGTCAGAACAGAGAGTAGGGGAGGGCAGCGTGAAAGTGGGACAGAGGGACAGTGCAGGGAACCTGCGGGGCATCTAGCAGGAGATCTCTTCGGGTCAGGTGGACACAGTAGAAGGACGCTGTCCTTCGGCGGCTTGCCCAAGTTCTCCTAGGAGGGAGGCCTGCTGGGAAGGAGGCCCACAGGCTCTAAGCTATATATGTAGGTTGGGGTGCAGCTGAGTGGGAGTGCCAAATATTGAACTGGAAATGGTTCCCACATCGAGTGACATTTGTTTGGGGTTAGCCAGCAGGGAGCCCAGCAGAGAGTTGGCATCCTCATCATGCCAGCTCATTCACAGCTGAGAAGGGCTCTGCCCCAGTGTCTGCTTCCCCATCTGTGTAGAAAAAGAGAAAGGGCCCGGAGAAAGGGAAGGAGGGGTACCAGGGCCAGGCATGCCCCATGTCACCGGCCTGGGCCAAATCCAGGCCCTGCAGTGGGGAGGGAAAGGGGTAGTTGTAAACTGGATGGACCAGCCTATGAGGGACAGTGAGTTACAGTGACAGAACATTAGATCTTCCCAAGGTGTTATTAAGGGACAAGGAAGTTCACCTAGAATCAGTGATGGGAGAAAACAAAAGCAAATGTATTTGCACCCTAGTATTTGCTCAAT